ATCTAATTCAATAGTTGAAGAATCTAATGGTTTAGTATTAACATGCTCGATATAAACAAATGGATATCTTGTATATCGATGTATAGATGTAAGTTTAATTGAATTACTATCTGCTTTACTAATTAGATGTTTACACAATATAAATCTATTAATTAAATAGGTGGGGCAGCTACATATCCATTTTTGAATATCCGTATAGTACTGTGCTGAAGTTGTTGTTTCTTTGGTTGCTAGAAATCGTCATAATTTTTTAAAATCTTTTTTTTATGCAGCTTCAATATGACCAGCAAGAGTAAGATTATACTTGGTTAATAATTGGGATACAAACCGATTTGTAATAACATAAGCAAGTAAATCTAAACGAGGTTGATTAAATTTATATAAAAAATCATGTTTAAGTGATTTCCAGTAGGCTTCAACAATCATTGATGTACATGCCAAAGGTATATTCAAACCAGCAGACCGAGCCCAGATACACCAATGATTAGCTTGATACTATTCTCCTCAAAGATAAGCCCATAAGTGTAGTAAATTGTTATTAACACAAAAGTTATACATTGTCATTACTGCATTTTTATAAATTGTAGATAATTGTAAAAATGTTCCTGAAGTGCCAAAAAGAATATGCAGATGGTAATTAAAATGTTCTATCATTAAAGAAAGTACTTGATTATGTAATGAAGGTGGACAAAAATGTTGTATAGCTATAGATGGTTTAAATTCCGGATTAATAAAAGTAAAAATTTTATGTACTTCTGTTGAGTTATATACTATTTTTGTAGAGCATTCCTTATTTCGTAATCGACGTAAAACAGCGCGACGTAAGTGCCACAAGTTGAACTTTTACAGAAGGCCAAACTGTTTTAATAGCATTAATATAAGAAAAGTCCTTATCAGTAAAAAAAAATACAGGATTAATGCCTTGCTTTTGTAATGTATATAAATAGTTAGTTAATGCTATAGTATGTTTATTTGTCATAGATGTTAATGAATTTAATATTAAATATGACAATGGGTAACCAACACCTTCTATATTCGCCATAACTACATAAAGTTCAAATCCAGCTTTATTTGTTTTGTATGTAGCATCCATGGCTATTTCTTCATATTTATTATGTAATAATCATAAAAATGAAGTAGTAAATGCAATTTCAAAAATTCCATTTTCTTGATTACTATATAATAATAAATAATTTTCATCTTCTTGTAGCAAATAAGTTGTTGAAATAAACTGATCATCATCACGAAGGTAAAGTTTTTGATAAAACATAGTCCACCAGAAATGAACTTGTTTTTGTGTTAGTGTATGTGATTGATACTGTAGCTGTTTCCAAAGTTGTCTTAAAGTAAGATGAATATTATTTTTAATAAATTCAATTACTTTTTTATCAACATTTTCTTTTATAGTTGGGCATAAGTGAAGCTCATAATGACATATATAAAGATGCACAATCATTTTTTCTAGGTTAAAAATAATTCTTACTAAACCTTGACATGTAAATCGTTCTTGCTTAGTATATATATGTTTAGGATTTTGTTTAGAATGATCATGTTGAGAAGAAAGTGAACAGGTGTACCATCGTGTTAGTTTTTTACTAACATTATTGTATTGACGTAGATAATTCCATTTATATCCATCAGCAGCTTAAATAATTTTAATAACTTCTTGAAAAATAAGGTTCATTTTATTATTATTAAATTTCTCACTTGGTAAAACAACACGAATATTGATTTCAATTCCGTCTAAATTATTTTCACATGCTTCAAGTTCAGTTAAATATAATTTTCTAAATTATCTAAATCAATGGTATCATCTAATAGAATTTCATGCTCAACATGCTCATTATTATCTGGATTATTATTGGTTTGTAAATTTTTTGCTGAAGGTAAATCAAGTTTTTGACGACATAATATGCATATTTTAAAGTAATCCGTTTTATTAATACCAAACTCTTCAGGTTTTTTGTCTTTTTTACAGTGTGAACACTCTCTTAATGACAATGTAAAAAAATAAATTAAACAAAATGTTCTTTAAATAATTTTTGGTTCTACTGTATTTTATAAAACTAATATGTTTTAGACATATATTAATGATATATAATATACA